TTTGGGATCGGATTTAATGGTGGTTTTCTGTTGGAAGAGGCTTTTACGTAAGCACATTCTAAGCATGACTCGACATATTTTTTGACAAAACGGCGCATTTTACTGAACCAATAAGTTTCTTTAACTTTTGCTAAAGTTTTATCAAACGCGAAATGCCCGATATCGTCGTGACACTGTTTAAGGATTTGCCAGCGTACACCCTTTGGCACTACCCATTTATTACCCTGATCAGTCACACGAAATAACCTATTATTACGTAATACATAATTTTTCGTTATATCGGCAATATGAATCGACCCTGGGTCTTTTAAAATCGAAACTATCCGCTGTATTTCTGAATCAGATTCCTGTACAGTACTCAACCAATCAGATTCCTCAACTACCATAACTGTTTCACTATTTTCCTTATTCATAAGTGGCGGATTTCTACTAAGAGCATCAATATAACTCATCGTTTTACCTGGCCGATATTCTATAGAAAAATCAAACTCTTGCATAGTTATCCACCATCTGGCCACTCGTGGTATTAAATCTTTTTTTAAAAATGTCGCTCGAAGGGAATTACAGTCTGTAACAACTTTAAAACTAACACCGATTAAGTAAACGCGAAATCTTTGTAATGATGCGACCAGAGCTAAAGTTTCAAGTTCGTATGCTGTCATGTGCTGTTCATAAATGGTCGTTTGTCGACTGTAATACGCAACGGGTCTGAGTAGGTTATCTCTACCGCGCTGCATAAGGATCCCAGCAATACCTAATTTACTGGCATCCGTATGCAACTCGGTATCGTCACTAGGATCGTACAATTTTAAAACTGGCTTTTGCAGTAAAATTTCTTTAAGAGTGTTAAATGCTTTTTTCTGCTTAGAACCCCATTCCCACTTAGAATCTTTTTTTAAAAGACTTGTCAATGGCTTAGCAATACTCGAAAAATTTTTGATAAACCGCCTAAAGAAACTACATAACCCAATGAATTGTCTAACAGTATGCAAATTACAAGGCTCTGGAAATTCTTTGACCGACTGAATTTTTCTTGATCCTGGCCTAATGCCTTCCTTACTGAGCTCAAAACCTAAATAATCTACAGATTTACTAAAGAAATAGCATTTAGATAATTTTAATGTTAATCCTGCGTTCGACAATAACTGCAAAACCTTTTCTAACTTACTTAATCCTTCTTCTATTGAATTTGAGGGTATAATTATATCGTCCATATAAGCCGATGCTATATCCCTAGCACTAGACAGAACTAAATTGATCATACGCATAAAATTTGCCGGTGCGTTAGCTAACCCGAAGGGCATCCTATTAAATTCAAACTGCCCATCTGGCGTGACAAACGAAGTTTTGTAACGATCTTCTTCGTTTATACTTATTTGGTAATAACCAGAAGCTAAATCAAGGACAGTGTAATATTGATATCCTGCTAATGAATCCAATTGATCGTCAATCCGGGGTAAAGGAAAATTTTCTTTGTACGTTTTTCTGTTTAGGGCCCTATAATCGACACATAGGCGTACCTCACCAGTTTTCTTTTTAACAACGACTATGGGACTACCATAAGGTGACGTCGAAGGTCGCACTATTTTGCAGTCGACTAATTCGTTAACTAACTCCCGCACTTTATTCCTTTCGCAAACAGGTAACCTATAAGGTCTGTACACTACTGGCTCATCGTCTTTCAATTTAATGGACATATTTACTAAATCAGTTTTCCCAAGTTCCTGTAGACTAAAAGCAAAACACTGTCTGTAATTATTAAGCAAGAGTATTAATGAATTAATTGTTTTAGTACTTAGCGTTCCATCGGACATTATTTCATTACTGCTAATACTACGCGGAGATGTAGGTACGTCTATTCGGAGAACGTCAGGCTTATTATTATTACTTAGTGGCTCAGCTCGAATACACCTAGCTATTACTGTACCACGTTTAATAATAAATGTTCGCGAACTAATCCCTTTCACCAATGCTATACCTAGACCATTGACAATGGAAAACAATCCTTGTACCAGATAGTGTTCTTCCCCATTTTTGAACCTATTGCTGCCCTCAATATAAACATCGCCCGTAAATGAAGGGTCTGTGCTAAATTCTACTAATGTCAGTCCGTCAATTATCGTATCTTTGGAGCAATTAAGGTTATACTTAATACGTGTTGGTGCTATTTCATTTGAGAATATTTTCAACATTACATTATCCTTTTCAACCATTATGTGAGGTTGTTCAGTAAATGATCTACCAACTAGCAACGGCTCTTTCAGTACTTCATCCGGTACGATAACCAGTTCTACCAAAGCACTAGCATGATCAATTTTAACTGTGGCCAAAAATTTACCTATTGGTTTAACCATTGAGTTGCCAAATCCTATCAGAGGTGGTATCGAATTATCAGGAACCCATTCGACATCTAAACTTTCTACATCTGACATTCTAATAAGACTTACTGCGCTACCAAAATCAATAAAGCATGTTTTTAAAATACCATTTACAACAGCCTCTTTATAATACTTATGACAGTTCGCGTTAATACCAGCTACAAGCATGACGGAATTAGATGTAAGTTTACTATTGGTATTTACTAAAGTCTTGCTACCATTCTCGCATTTATCCGAAGTATGTCCAAAACGTAAACATTTAGTACATTTTATAATTGGGCTAGGGCATTGAGATTTATAATGACCCCTTTGTGAGCAATTAAAGCATATTATTACGCGATCCCGTCGGATATCATCTCTACTTACACTTGAATCAGTATTTCGAACACGTTTTCTATCATTAACATTACTAGTACCCCTAGTACTTATAAGAAACGGAAGCAATTGTTCCGGCGTTTCAAATCGAGCCGATTCTGCTCCTAACCTTACAGTACGATCGTCAATTCCAAATACAATGCAATCTACCGCTTTCTTTCCTTCTATGCCACAACGATTCAATAAAACTACTTTGTCATAGAAGTAATCCTCGAGAGATTCGTTAAACCTAGCACGTTTGGCTAACATTGTCGAGAGTAATCGCCCATAGTTATCATCGTTAGGAAAAGCCAGGCGCAGTTTATCTTGCCATTCCTTCCACGTAAACATTACAGTATTGAGACCTTCATACCACTTTTGAGCAGTACCCTTCAATTTTGGAAGTGCATAGTGAGTTGTCTGTTTGTCAGTCCAGTCATAAATAACTGCACACTCATTTACTTTGTGCAACCACATATCAATGGTCTGTTCTTTACGGGAGGGATCAAAGTCTGGAAGCGTATTTTGTGTCTGTAATCTATCATTACTATTATTTTTCCCTATAGTTTGTAATGCTTGTATTAACTGTGTAAGAGTAACATTTCCACTATTTGACAAGGTTTCTGGCACTAACCTGTCTGGTGTTAAAACTTGTCGGGGAGACTTTTGCTGTTGTTGCCGTTGCATCTGGCTGGTTTCAGTTTGGCCACGCTGCACGGCCCTGCTGTGTCCAGGTCGGCTGCGTGAACGGTGACTGGTAGGACTTAGCGATCGGTGGCTGCTGCGGCTGCGCGTCTGGTAGTTGGCACGACTGTGCCTGCGATGATCAGCGCGACTGCGTGACTGCACACACATACGGCTGCGCGACCGTCGGCTGGGCGAGCGACCACTGCGGGTCTGGTGATGGTGGTTCGCATGGCTTCGCACACTGCGACTGCTATCACCACGACGCTGACTTCTAGTGGACTTCAATCTACTCCGCGATCGCCGATCCACTGGCGCCTTGGGGCTCTCATCGTTTCCCATTTCACTGTTGAAATATTTTCGACACATCATTTGTACAACAACAATTTAAAGTAAAAGTTTAGACTGACAAAGGTTATACACATTATACACCGTATCACATACTAAGAACGTTATTTTATCCAACAAAACAACAGAAAAACGAAAAGTAATAAAGACAAAAATTTTATGTATATTTCATAAAACACAATTGATACTTTTACTGGAATACTATATAATATATTTTTAAATTCATATAATGTAACTTTCTAATTTTATATTATGTACAAATATTTGTAGGCTTGGCAGGTAAGCAAAAGAGAAAAAAAAAATCTGTTACTCACCTTATCCCACTTCTGAAATGTTGGCACTAACTTCTGGGTCGGCGATTTTTTTTCAATAAAACACGTTACTTGCACTTAGTGAATTTACTCTCACGTTCCAACACTTACACAATCACTTTTCTTATTCCTTATTTTACAAAAGTTGATTAAGAACTGAGCTATTAAGACAGTGTCACATTTTTATTAACTACCCGAGACAATCAATTGACTTAAAATAGTTCAATAACAGAATCAACATAATCACTTTATTTAATTAAATTAGTTTAATATTTTTTTAATAAGTTTATAATTATTATCTATACCAAATAATATTTATTATACATTCATGGAGTGATTTATGATATTACATATATTTTATGATATTACATTATTATAGGCCAACAATACATATTCACTTTAAAGAGTAGATTGTGAAAAATTGCACTAAATGTCAAAGGGGTAAATAAATTGATTCAATTAGGAGAGTATTATTAAGGTCCTCTCATGATTATTTTTCTTCCTAGTTACATGTAAAATAGTAATTTTTACCGACATTTTTACAGTTTGATTGATTAATTTCGTTATTGAATTCGCCATTAAGGTAATTTAACAAGTGGCACCGGTTACAAACGGGAGACGTAATTATATATAATATCGTCGTCCTTTTATCTTTATAAATCATCATAGAATAAAGACTGAAGTCAGCTAAGTGATTAATATTTAATTATCCCGAGTATTTTATAATAGGTTTTGCATGTAAAGTTATCAGGTCTTAATCGATTAGCTGCGGGAGACGTCCGTCAAGGCACCCTCAGCTCATCGATCGTCGCGGTCCGGTATCATTAAGATAAAATTAATTGGGCTCCACCGGTCTTCCGCGTCCCCGTCGAGATGAAAAAAGTGCGCACACGTGGTCACTACCGTTCATTTACGAACGCGAATTATGCGTAGTACGGCAGGTGGCAGGTGGCGGCGATCATGGGAACTCGGGGTTGAGTCGAGTTCCCACGGCCGCGTCATTCACCACGCCGCACCTGCGCCCCTTAACGGGGATGCTACACACACGACTGCCACGCGAAGAGCGAACACGGCGCGCGAGTGTGTGTCGTGCTCGCGCCTCGCGTGTGCGTACGCTCGAGCTTTACGCGTGCGTGACGCGAGAGTGTGCGTGTGCGTATGCGTATGCGCATACGGGCTCCGATTTCAGCATTTATTAAACTAAGTGTCCATAGGGCTGTTAAGTCGGAACATTAGATGTGTGGGTGATTTGATTTATGCACGCTTATGCTATTTTAATGATAATTGACGACGATAATAGATCCAAGTTTCCCGTGTTTTTTTTTATTAATGTATAGACGCTAGAGCGTCTAATTACTTCTGCGGTAGTTTCTCATTTAGATTGCATCTGTAATAATTGCATCTACGAAATAAATTGTTACCTAGAACATTTACAAGCACTAAGTACAGATTACCAATGACTAATGTGCGCAACATGTAAGATAATTAGAAATATTTTTTTCTGTCATGCAATCAGAAGAAGTTAATAGCGTGCATTAAGTTTCAGTGAAAATAAAATATTAGAAGCTTAATATTAATGGAACACATCCTCTAAGACTCTTCTGAGTACAATAATAGATAACCAATTGGTCTATTAAAGGCATCCATATAAATAGGCTCCACATCATTGACATTATAGATGATATAATCAAAATGGTCAGCACGTCTGGCCATCCTACGCACTTGGACGTTTGTATTGACACTACCATTGACACTTCAATAACAATAGATAATATAATTTAACGTTGTATACAAAAGTTACTGTCAGTTAAAATTTACACGAATAAAAATAACACGTAAGTATTTATTTAAATGTTAAATTTTTGTACGGGCAATATTTCCATAGAAAAGATTGCCTTAGCAAGAATTTTTTCCGAAAAAATGCTTCTAATATTAAAATAGTCGGTAAAAATACGGTATGTTAAATTTAATTAAATATTAAGTTAAAAAATATGATTATTTTTTTGTAAGTATTATACAATTGTTTAAGACTTACAAAAAAATAATCATATTTTTTAACGATTATATAATTCATAATATTCAAAATGTATTGATTAAAGCAAACAATGAACACCTCACACAATATCTAAAGAGCAGGATAGGGTTATTAAAAACAATCACGTGCGTAGATAAATGCGCGTACGCTTTACACGCGACAATACGTGCATTCCGACAGTGCATGGGGGTTAATAGCTGCGTACATTGTTCCTGGTAATCGACATTAATTAATAAAATAATTTTGATCTTTTAAAGAAATATTATTGTATGATACTAATGATATGAAATATTATTATCAAAAATAATATACTAAAATACTTTTTGTTTTTGTATTTGAGAAATCGACATAATTTTATATGTTTATATAATACTAGCGACTCATCCTCGCTCCGCTCAGGTTCGTCCCTAGTTACGTTTTAACTTTTAGTATAGATTTCTCAGAGATAAGAAATTTTCTCGCAGTAAAAGGTATCCTATTTGTTGACCCAGATAACTAGCTATCAACATATCAAATTTCATCAAAATCTGTCCAGTGGTTTTCTCGCGATGCGTTCCCACTTCCCACATAGACAGACAGATAGACAAAAATTCTAAAAACTACAAGTTCGGCCTATGTATCGGTAATAATGACTACTTTAATAAGATTTTCCAAAAAATATTTAATGTATAGATTCAACTCAATTAGAATTTTATTATATGTACTTATAGATAAATACGATACATAGTTTTTTACTATTCATTTATCATAGTCATTTTAATTAATACGTAATATATGAAGAGCACAAAGTTTAAAGTTTAAAAAATTGTTACACCTAACTAAATTGTGTAAATAAACTTCTAAAGCACCTTTGTTTTTAAATAAAAAAATATCAACAAAATCATTCCCCTATTTGACATGACAAAAGATATTTATAATTGACGCCTCATAATATCCAAACCAGAGTCAACAATACGCTTCGCGAGTAGAGCATACTTCACGCACACGCGTAAAGCCACACTACCCCTATATGAATAGTTTGAAGCATAATGTATACTTTGATACGTAACGTATGGAATACAAAGTCCCATTTGTAACCCTACCCTGGGACGCGGCAAAAAGGTTAAGATTTTATATTCTTTTTTCACAAACTAAAGGCTGCACGTGGTCGGGTTGTGGTCTAAGTTTTTTTCTTTTAATGAAAGTATTATGTTGAGTAAAATTCTTGAGAGAGCGCAAGGGGATCAGTTACGACGGCGTTCGATGGTTTCGGGTTTTAATAATGGCGTTGCATCATTAAATTATTCAAAAACATAAATTAATCTTTCAGTTTTTTAAAAAGCTTATAGGTATCAGATAAATTTACTGTTGGAATATTTTCCAATTAGGTTGTGGAAAACAGACGAACTCTACCTAATACAAAAATTATATTCTTCATCTAATATAGGTATATTCTCCAACTAATTCATCATTGGCAGTTAATCTAGAATTATATTCGTTATATTTTTATATTCTAAGGCGAATTTACTTTAAGTAATCTAGAGTTAAGATAGAGAAGATTTAAAAATAACCCCACCCTATACACACAGTAGCCAGTGTTACAAAAGAAAATAATTAACTAAAATATGATGATGAAGTAATATTGTGTAAAGCTCATTACTCAAATAATCGTAATATTATAATAAACTAGCGCCTCACACTCGCTTCGCTCGGGTTCGTCCTTAGGTATGTTTTGACGCTAAGTATAGAATATGATGAGTTTTATATCCCTTACTTGAGAAATGATTGATTCCCCATACAAACTTTCATCCCCTTTTCACGCTCTTAAGGGATGATTTCCGGGGTAAAACTATTCTATGTCCTTCCCAGGGTCCCAAACTATCTCCATACCAAATTTTATCAAATAGATTCAGCAGATTAAGCGTGAAAAGGTAACAGACAGACAGAGTTACTTTCGCATTTATAATATTAGTGTGAATTAAATTACCGAGCGTAATAAATGGTCTGAATTAAAAGTTTTTTTCTAAATAACTACAAATTCTTTCAATTTATTTATAGGTATATGGCTCTATTATCTTTTGAGTACCTAATGGGCAAACCTTTTAGATTCTTCTAGAGTTGAAGATATTTTCAAGATACTATATTTAAATTACACAAATTGTTCTGTTTAACATATAACTACCTCATTTCAATAGTCATTTCGTATCATCATCGACAATTTCTATGATCCATCATTACTTAAGTGTGAAATTATGTTAACCACTCCAACGCTTTAGACCGGCTAGACTGGTATAACGTAATATTTTCAGCTCCCTTCTAATGTACATGACACATCATAAAATAACATTTTACTACTACTTGTTTCAAATACGGTACATAGGTACGTATAAGATACATACGTATTTTTTATAAACTAGCATTGCCTGCGGCTTCACCCGCGTTCAGATAACCCATAAACTAAATTCTGAGGTTTTACATATTAGTATACTCTTACATTGCAGATTTTGTATTTTTTCTCAGAAATGAGACATTTTCTCGCAGTAAAAAGTATTCTATCTGTTGACCAGGTTAACCAGCTATGACCATACCAAATTTCATCAAAATCTCTCCATTGGTTTGTCTGTGATGCGGTAACAGACAGACAGAGTGACAAAAATTCTATAAACTAAAGATTCGGCCTCTGTATCGATAATATTATCTATTTCAATAAGATTTTCCAAAAAAATATTTAATGTACAGATACAGCTTAGTTACAATTTTATTATATGTATAGATTTTCATGTCACTGAACATGAAAATGTATTTAAACAAATACCTTCATTAGTTAAGCGTTAAAGGTTAACATTATTTACAAGCAGTGTTTGAAGGTACTTATAAAATAACTAAGAATCTTATGCTATTTTAATTTTCTAGTTTTGAAAAAGTGAAAAGGAACGCTTTGACAAATCGTATTGAACACAAATCATATAAACCTAAAATTTAAAGTTTTACTCTGCATTTAAAAGTTTCACTGTACACTTCCTCGAACTCGAAGTCTACCGTAGCAACTTTGACTTAAAAAACAAATAACACAGGCTATAAAACCTTTCAATATTTATATTACTTATTACATTATTTGCCTACAAAATCAGATGTAGATATTTTATAATAAGCATTGAAGTCTTTAATGGAGCGCTCCATGTAATAATACAATCTAGTGGGTATTAAAATAATTCATCAGTGTATCTTTAGCTAGTGACCAGAGGAAATGATTTATCAGAGTGTAGTACGTGATTTGCGAGCGGCCGCGCTACGGAGCCGATGTAATCGCAGGAAGCGACACCGGCGCGGGCGAAGCAATGATCAATCTGCAGCGGAACTTATCTATCCACTGCTAGCCAGCTGCTAGCAGTGATTCATAATAGCACGATAGTCTTGTTTATTCTACAGAATCGCCTCCGGCAGCCTGGCCTGACTAGCTCATGCAAATATATGCAAGACACGATCGCTGCGCGGGGAAGTAATGTATCCAACATCATAATAGAGTATAAAAATAAATTACTTCGTATAGATAAAATATCGACGAGAATTAAATGCTCAGTTATACTGCCTTCCGCATGTAGAAATGTCTGGCTTAAGAGTCAACTAAAAATAAAACAAGTTAGAGGCATGCTAAAGAAACTAATAAAAACATTAAGAATCTCAGAGACTCACCCGTCTCGGGCAATAGAATGATTAATAAGGCTTTATGAGCACAATCTAGTCAGTGACTATTCTAAGTCGCGGCACGTCAAAGGCTCTATTCGTAGAAGTGTTAGTAAAAACCAGTCTGTAGGCGCGCGCTACTGCTCGCGTGCTGCGCGCGCGCCTCCCGCTCGGGACGCACGCGCGGGCGCACGTAGCGGGGACCCACTATATAAAGCCAGCCGCCCTTCCTGATTCTATCATTCCCTTCGTACGCTTCGTGTGTGCATGTCGCTTGCTCTCACGCAACCTTGTATATACGTAGACCTAGTTCATCGGATTAATTTTATTTTAGTATTAATTTTAGTAAACATGTGTCTCGCTAAGGAAGATTCACTGTCGCCCCAGAAGGAGGCTCAGTCACCTCGTTCGCCTTGGATGAAGCTCTTGAATCGTCAGGTAAAAATTGTTTGGTTTACTTTAGGCTTAACCTTATATTTATCAGTGCATTAACATATTTTATCAATATATATTATTGTACTTTAATTTCCTTGTTTTATTCTATTAATCTCAAGACATTCAGAAAACTTAAGCAAATTACTAATATATGTATATTTATTTTTGTTTACAGAGCTCTAAACCAAGGCTTCCACGAAAGGTGACGAGTTCTACGCGAGTGAATCTTAATAAATGTTGGTCGAAACTAGGAGAGTTGATCTCCAACTCTTCACCTCGCTCTGACCTGCCATCGCATAAGACTGCTTATCTCGAAGAACCTGTCTTAGTGCCGTTCTCCGAGTACTTCTATCCAGTAGATCCGGTCAAACCGGTACCTGTTGAAGACAACGATAATGCCGAAAACCAGAATATCTTGAACTCCAGCAGGTTTGAACTCATCTCAGAAGAAGAGATCAGTGATAACATGGCCAACGAAGTTCGAGAAATCTGTTATTCGACTACTAAATCAAGCTGCTTTGTATGTAAGCTCTGCTATTAACTCGTGTCTTCCAAAATCACTTTCGTCTTCCAGTAATATTAAACGTTTAACTTTCGGTACTAATGCAGTGAACACAAAATCGTGTCTTCCAACGTTAGATTAAGTGCGTGCCTTGTTGGCGCATCCATGTCTTCCATTAGACTTAGTGGCGTGGAGTTCTTGTACATCTTTACTCGAACTTATGTGATTTCAGGTATTGTGATCTTAGTTTAATGAATAGTTTATTTTCGAGATAATCGCGGGATAGATGTACCAGAACCCCACGTATGTTAGTGTTTGATATTGTAACCATATAAATTGTCCGTCATGTTTTGGTAGACAGCTTTAACGTCAACTGCACTGTAATTATCAATGCACCAATTTCCGTCTTTTTAACTTTACTCCTTGGTTCATCATCACTCTTAAAACATCTTTGTCTAATGTCTTCCATTAATATGTAAGAATTTTATCTGTGATATCACAAGTACATGACTTGAAGCTTTAATTAGATTAAGTAAAGTATAAAGAAAATAGTATTTTGTAAAATTATAAACAATAAATCTAATGAAATAAATGATATCTAAACAGAAATCAACATCTTCCATTTTTTGATTTCTTGTTTTCATATTGATTCATTGCATTTATTGTTTACTTTAAATATATAAAAATATATAAATTACAAAAGCTTTAATTAGTTATTAAGTAGATTATTAAGATGATATTTTAAAGTTTCAAAACTTCAATTATCTTTTTGCTTGTTTATATTTATATCTGCAATGTTTTGTTTCGTGTGTCATGCAAAAGTGGGCCGAACGTGCCAATTTTAATTTAAGCTCTTCCGTAGAAATAATTCTTAGTTTAAGATTATTTTTAATAATATTACTTAGAAGTAATTTTGTAATGTTAAAATTTTGTCTTCTTTATAATTTTGTCGATTTACCCATCATAAGTTAGATCTTAAGTTAAAATTTTTCTTCTTGACTTATCTTTTACTTAGCATTTACTTAGTCGTAAGCTTAGATTGTAAACCATTTTGTAGACTGATTGTTAAGAAACTTAAGACTTTCGTTTGATCTCTGAATCTTAATAAATATACTTATTAATAAATATATTTTTTCATTCATCGTACAATAATAATACTTACATCATAGTTACATAAAATTAGTACCTTTCCGAATAACAAACTTGCCATTTATTATCTGAGATAAAATATTTACCTACATTAGTTTTTCGAAAAAAGCAAATATTGATATTGTACATACGATTAAATTCTCAGAAACGAAACATTAAGTAGGTTAAATATGTTCGACCAACAAACGACCTTCATAACAGATCTAATATAGTTATAGCACAGATCATATAATACTATGCTATGTTATGTATGTATGTATGTATGTACATGATATCTACATGTATATAGTCGAGTACCACATATTTGGTACAATCTTTCGGCAAATTCAAAAATGAATTTTGTGAGATACCTCCTTAGTTAAGAATTACATTTTAAAATACAAGACAGAAATAATCAAGCAGAAGAAGAAGAATTCATGTTAGCAATATATGTATGCACATATTATGTATTTTAAATAAAACTATCTTTTCGGATTATTTCGCGGATTTATTTGGATTATTGGTTCCTGACGTTTGATTGCTTTACAGCAATCATGGTCACGGCAGAGACTGAGGTTATAGACGTCTCAAACACATACTTGTTACAGACAGTGCCTACCCATTATTTTACAAAAATGATTTCATAAATTCAAAAATGACACAAAAGTACGTTACAATATTTGTTGATTTTTATTTTAAACATTATAAAAAATTCTATTAAAATGTTTAAAATTAAAATTTCTGCCTCCTATTGATTTTCATTCAAATTACTTTGCTATTAATAGGTTTAAGTAACAATATTCAGTGTCAAGCAATACTTAATTAAGTAGTTTATTAACAAAAATGTTACTACGAAGAATGTTGTTATTTAATTTATTAATATTCTGATATTGGTGATAAATTTTATAAAATATCTTTAAAACTTATATTTTTTGTTTACTAAATATATTTTTGTTTTATAACATGTATCTATTATATTTTGCTATACATATTCTGATTAATAAAATTATATCATATACGTCACACATTCTCTCCAAATTAAGAAGCACTCATTATTTATAACATTCACATAATAGGTATTATTGTATCGCATTTCATATAATAATACTTTTTATTAAACTCTCTATTAATACATTATGTTTATTTATGTATAGGTTTCGTTTACGTCTAAGAGGCTCGTATATTTGTCAATAATAGACACATTTCTTTTATTTTATAGCCTCATCTGTGCCAATTTTATTAATATTCTGCAAAGGCTACTTGAATTGAGAATTTACTTTCATCAATCAAGTTGCGTAAGATATTTACTTATGCATCAAACGATCATTCTTTTTATTTATTCAATATAGTAATATATTAACATTTAAACACTACTACGTTTAAAAGCTTTAAATAATTATTTAGAATCAAATTCGTAATAAATTATAAAATAATCCAAAAAAAAAACCACAAATTTTAACCTCTTGGGTGATGTGATAATAAGTGATATTGTCACAAAATAACCTATGTTTATAGCTGTATATAAAGCGTCTGTGAGTTTTTTGTAGTTGCTCCAATGAGGGTGGAATGTTCAATTTATGAACAAACCCTCTTTAAAAATAAAATAAAGATTGAAAAAATGTATGTTTATCTTATATAGATATAAGCCAGGTCATTAAGAAAGTTGCTAAATAAACATAATAAAAAACACATAAGACAAATTAAGGCATAAATATCGATTGATTGATTGATACATAATCATAAAGATGAAGGGATTTCTGTTTGCGACACACAGTAATCTATGCCCTCTTGAACTTTGATGTTGTAATAGAATATAAAATCACTATAGCACTAAAGGGTGCCCATTAAATTTTATTGATATAATTTTCAGGTCAATGACATTATTATTGATACTACCTATACGTTCGTTCGTGTATGTAAATGCGTAATTTTCTCTTTTGTAGCCTTATATTTCTATATATAGAAATAAATATGTTTATCTGTTTGTTATGTATACGTTTTCATTGCCATATTTTTTTATTAGTATAAAATTTGTTAGTATAGTAGTAATAATAGTATATGTAGTGTTTTAATGTGTTTTTTTATATATTTTTAGCAACTTCCTTAATGATCAGGGTTGTATAAATAATGCACGATAATTAGGTAACACCTGAATTGTTTAGGATAATTTGTTAAATTAAACAGTTACAATCAAGGTACAGGGTACTTATTTATATATATATATATATATATATATATATATATATATATATATATATATACCTCCAGGAAAATATATACGAATTCTTTAAGACAGAATCATATTTCAATATCTACTATTAATATTTATATTATTTAATATTTTCTTAGCGATTTTCTTTAACCAATTAGTTATGGACGAGCTGAGTTATCAATAAAAAAAATTAGAAACCTGATCTTTTATATACTAGTTTAGTAAGTTCTATTCAGATCTATATGTTTTTCTCGAATTTTTTAATAATGATTATAGTCGAATTTTGACCACTGTGGGATCATGTCTAATTCATATAAATAGGTAAGTAGTTTTATCGATTCGACTGAAAAAAAATGCAGCGGATAAGCTAAAAATAAAATAAGGAAGTACTTATTTATTATATATGTGGCATATAAGTGGATAAAGCCGTTTTTACTAATGTTATTTTATAACTGAAAAATTAAATTTGTAATAGTGGATACAAATAAATAATAAGATTAAGTTTTTTTATTATATTATTTATTACTAACGACTCTCCCCGCTTCACCAAATTTCGTTGAAATCAGTTCATTACTTTTTGCGTGAAACGTGCCAACACAAACAGACATACAGTACCGAATTTGCTAAGTTATTGCTTTATTATAGTATAGATTCTTTGCTCTATTCATGCGGATTTTTATGTTGATTATGTTGATTGATGGTTATGTTTCTTAGATGCCAATATGAAAAAAAATATAATATAGATACCTTGTCTACCTTAAAAGAGAATAATAGCTAGGTAGGTATACCACACATGTGATACTATTATCTAAGAAATATATTGTAAGGAGGACATAATACTAAAAAAATAACAGATATCGATACTACGTGTCAAGAAATAGTTTAAGATACGTGACATTATACAAAAGTGTTGGATGTCCATTTATAGTATAATGCATCGGACAGACGTTTAAGAATGATAAATCGGTACTTTTCTAAGGGCGATTCGTTCCAAACCTGCGATATAACGACAAAAGTGCGACTTAGTTCACGACACTGTCAAAAGGCAGTTTTAAAACTCAAAGTCATAGGGGATGCAGTAATAGAGAACCGTAAAATCGCGGATCTGTGACGAATCGCGGCAAAATTTCGGTTTTTCGGTCAATTCTTTAGGATTTGTACGGGCTTTCTTCGACAATTCGTCGCGCTGAACGGGTGTCAGTATTACAAACACATGGTCTTTCATTTAGACTAGTTTGCCATTCAATGATCCGCAACGGTTTTTAGATTTCGCGACACATTTCATGGCTTGCGACGCGTTACATTGATGTTGACTTACCTTCCGTCACAGCTGCTAGATGCTTGTTTAATAGAACAGACTAAAGAAATAGGAATCTTAAATTTGACAATAATTCCCTGGGTAATTTACGATGAGCTTTTGTCGTAATATATGAACATTACTGGAAAATATATGGGTTCTTACAAATAAACCTTAAAAGTAAGCAAATTGTGTGCTGTTTCTACATTTTATACACTAATCATAGTGCAATTATTGTTGCAGTACTATTATACTCCAAAGGATTTTAAGTCACTATTAGATAGGTAATCATAAAGATAATTTTTATTTGTTATCTCTCTGCTCCATTCTAAATCCCCTTAATAGGTATTTTATCGAAAATCAACAATATGTAAACTACTGTTTTAGCAATTTTAATAT